GTTTGGAATTCGGGTAGATGTTGCTCCTCGTCATTTTGCAGGATTTAGTCAAAATACCGAGGAGGTTACTTTTGGTATGCCGTTGGTTCAGCTCATCCACCTGCTTTCCCTTTAAACAATTCAAAGTTGACTACGGAAGGTTGGTACATAATATAGCTAGCGTATCCAACGGTTTCCGGGTTTCCGTTCTATTACTAGGGACCGTAGTTAGGAGACGAAGTGGTTTTTCTTCATCTGTTCAACGTTGCCTTTCACATTAGTTATGGATCTGTTAACAGCATAATGAAGAATTGATTTTAAAGTTCACTGTGTTGAAAAAACGGCCTAGCTACCAATGGTATTTGTATTCTTACTAAGTTTCAGCAAAGTCTGGTAAAAGCAAGTCAGTTTGAGGGAAATGGTTGCAAATTAAGTATTGGTGAAGTGTTCGGGAGCATTTGGCGACTTGGATTAATGTCCGTGTTTACAGACGCGACTTTTTAGTGTAACGTTTGGCGTTGTGGCATGGGCTTGCACCGGAGGCCAGTGGAGGGTGCTGTGTCCGACTTTTTGTTATACTTGTTCCTATGCAGGATATTTTGGTGCCCAAGATTCCCTTAACTACTTCCGTAAGCCTATCATACTCCTGCAACCGTGCGATTACGGTTTCAAATATTGAAACTCCGACACGCATCGCACAGTCAAAAAGCGGTCTGGCCTGCTGCTGATCAACTTGCATTCGCTTGGTTTGATTTTCCGGCCGTTCGAACGAAAACAGTTCTTGCAATTTCCACAAGAAACGGCTATTTTGGTCATCTTATTGTGCCTTCCTCAGACGCAGCTATGCACCGCGCTTCGGTTAGTAACGCCCATGTTGGCATATGAACGTGCGATCCGGCGTCTAGATCAGCCCGCCGAGGCAGATGGCTGTCACAATGCCTCCCACATTCTCCCGGGCACGCGCAGATTGGTGGGATAAAGGGACACGCACAAAAGCACACGAAGGCGCGGTTGCGGGTTGCGTTACACGATGCGCGCAGGGCGTTGGCAAGCTTCCCCAATTGTCTCGGACGCGATGTTTAGTAGGCGAAAGAAGCAAAATGTTCCTTGGCTTTATGCTGCCGCCTGTAGGGATGGCTGCAAAGTCGTTTGAGATTTATCAGCTTCTTCTAGCGAATGAGACCAAAATTTTTCTTGAAAATCTCGGGAGTGCTGTGATTCTACACGCAGAGCAGGACGAAGAAAGTGCCATAATTGACAACGGGTGTAAAAGTGAGCTCCACGCAAGTTAGATCTAAGTGACGGAAAGCACTAAATAGCGCTTCTCGAAAAAGATAGCAAGAGGGCACGGACAAGTTAATGCGTGGAAAACTGGAATTACCACAGAGGGTGAAGCGCCTGTACTGCAAAGTAATCGAACGCAGGTCGGTTCTAGTTTGCTTTGTATATCCTTGGTTAATTTTGTCTAACACAATGTTTTAGGGTAACGCCCTGTCTATACAGAGGAACCTCTTAAGGATAGACGTTGGTGGCCAGCAGCGTCATTACAACCAAAAGCTTAGTCATCACTTGCGTTCGCTGCATGCGATTGTATTTTAGCACAGAAGAGTATGCACATTACTTTGTGTGTTGTGAAAACATGCATAATGTTTTTTTAATATGCTTTCTATTCTTTAATTAGCATAGTCCCACAACGCCGCTTAACTGTAGGAAGCGATGGGAGAATAAATTGGTTCCCATATCTTACTCAGTAGACGGTCGGATTGCTCACCTATGTGCCGTTATGTGTAGCCTGATTCCATGATTCAAGTAACTAATGCTAGATAATTAAGAATGACCCACTATTCAGTGGACTTACAGTGATTAGGTTTCACGGTGGATTATGGCATATGAATTGGTAGTGCTTCATGGGGTCAAAAACATATCAACTTGCATATTGCTTTTTTAAGACAACATCAAAAATCCCCACCACGTTAAATGATACGCATCACTCCCTGCATTACATTAGAGATTACTGAATCCGCTTATCATTACGTGTGTATCTATTAAGCAGTTGATTTCATTCTGCGCTTTTATGTCACTTGAATCTACTCCCATAATTCTCATTGCAAAAATGTATGCAAGCCTTCATTCAAGCTAGCTAAATTAGAGTAATTTAGTGCAAATCACTAATTGGATTCAACTTGTGAGGATCATATTTTACCTCCTATCGCAATCTTGGCTACCTTTATAAGAGACATACTTTCAAACGTTTCCAAACTTTGAGTCACGCGGTAAATATTATGGTCCCCAGCGGAAGACAAATATGTGATCTCTGCGAAAACCAATCAGCAACGGGTGTCGACCACCAAGTAGTAATGTTGTCCGACAGTATACTCCCTTTCATTTTCGGTCGCTTTTTTGCACCTGACCTCTGTTCCGACCGAATGGAACAGTAGTTTAAGCGGCCCCACAACACTTTCTAACGCACCTGGTCGTACTATGGACACACCGACTTCAAATCCGGCCGATAGAGCATGCGAAGAGCCCACTAAATAGCTACAGGCATTGGGCTTGAGCTATTTGTACGCTGCAACGTAGACCAGATAAGCATTCAAGAACATGAACACGTTAACGGGATGGCTTGCATCAACCGATCAAGATATGCTGTGTCGAATGCCGTCAGAAAGATAGGAGTATGTGTTTTAATTACTTGTTTGTAAAATATCAGAATAGGAATATTATTATCTAACTGCCCTAATGTTGTCCGTTCTAAAGGTGCTTAGCTCTTATCAAGCGGACTGCGGCTGCACCAAGGCAGAACAATATCTCTATACTTTTACGCAGTATGTGTGGCCATTATACTAGCCAAGCAAGTATTTGAAGAGACACTGAAGTACTATAGACAAATGGCAACGGTTGGAGCAAATGGCTTAGGTCAAAACGCACCAGTAGAAGAAGAAAAGCGAGATCCTAACCTTACCGGATGGGTAGTTTGTTAAAATATCACCACCTCTTGATTTGGATGTCAGTTATTATGCCAATACCATCATTGACCCATATGCACATGAACCAGCACCGTAGCCTGTTCCAGATTTGGTCGGTCATCTGTCATTCGCCATGATAAGAGCCATGCGACCATGAAAGAAGCAAATTTCATCTAAGCTGACCCCCGGCAGCCTTCAGTGAGAACTGTAAGATTCCATTGCGGGAGTTAATTCAAGCATACCGCGCTTTATTCACGTCTGCTGATCCCCCAGATTCCGAGCGGTAACACCCAAATTGAGACGTTATGTTGTTTCGTACCATCACACATTAAAACAAAGAAACAGAATTTGTTAAAGTAGATACCAGGGAGCATTTGTTGGTTTGACTATTAAGAATATTTATGTGGAGTTTGCCGACAGGTTAACTGACCCAATCAACCTTGTTTCGGAATTCAGTCCTCTTTCTTCGGTAACAGCACCGCTATGATTTCGGGGCAGCGCTGAAACTGGAAGTTGAGAGGTCTGGTTCGGGGCTTATTATCCAATGCGATTGTGCTGGATCGCGGTATTTCACAAGTATCAGTGTTGGGGCGACCATTTTTTCTTATCATCACATCGCGCGCGTCATCAATCGAACATTTTGCCTTTCGTACATGACATCAATTCATGGCGTATGATCGGTCATCGGGAACATCACAATTCATTACAACGAGACTTGCACAATGCACATAAGTGGTCAAAGTCGAATGTGCGACCCCCTAAAACGGAATAGTTCAAGCGCCGTTAGTCCAATGACACATACAGGCTGGGAGAATACATCTTGAACAATGTCTCACAGAAGTGTAACCACTGTATGCTAATTAAAATGAACTCATCTGTTCGATTTAATACGCTAAGGTATCAAAAACCGTGAGCCAGCATGTTGGAATGTTGCGGAGGTCGTTCATACAGTCCACCCTCCCATATCTTCTAAGGATGATCAATGTGTACGTTAGTCCGCAAGTTCAGTAAGCAATACAGGTCTGGCAACCCAAGCTAAACCTCTATATGGTTGCACTGGAGACCTAGCAGCGAAGAGGAACTAAAACAGTAATTACTTTTTCCGCTTTCTATAACAAATGCGGCTGAAAGCAATATGAGTGTAAAGCGGAAGTTGTCGCCACCTAAGGGTGCCCTCATATCGCCCTATCAGCATTTGAAAACCTCAATCGCGTTTACCGTCACCTGTCGACAATTGGTCATAAAACCATGGGGTAGCCAGCTGACGCTGACCGAAAATCAGTCATTTGGAGTGTTGTCGAAACTTCCACTAACTCAAATTTCTCAGTTGTGCGATGCAAATCCGACTTGTGTCAAATTTGTGTCTATGTTAAACATTTCTAAAATAAGGAACCTGAATATGCCTTGTCCCATATGCACCACGTGAAACAACTCGTTTATTCGTTGCCGAGAAAACGCAAATCAACTCTGTGCTCATGACTACGTCTACAGGGAATTCATGTAGGCGGTTAATCTGTGTGCTAATAAAAATAACACGCCGAACACACAGCTATACAGTATAGTAAGCTGGCAATCTTTTAAATGTACTGGCCAACTTCACTTAAACGGTCCTATGGTCGTGTCTACTTTGGACTTGCTCCATTGGTATACTATTTCATTATGGTTCCCTTGCTATAAAGGCCCATGATTTTCCAGGCATGCCGTTAGTTAGCTAGACATACAAGCACTCCATTGACATTGGCTGTTTAGTGAGCAACCTATAACGTTGAAAGGCATATGTCACTGTGTTACACTCTGTACATATCACTAATGGCGTTGGTGTAGTCATTCAGTGTCAAGGTCGAGATGTGAAAAAAATAAAATAAGCGACTGATTTTCTTCATTCTTATGATGAAGAAAACGAAACATGGAGTACTTGCGGGCATTGCTTGCAGCGTTTATGATGACCAACCTAACGCTCCGTAAGTCGGAGGAACATGCACGTGAGGCACCCATGCTGTGTTTGTCCATCTCTAGGTGTCTGACTTGAAGTTTTTATCTTGACCAAATTGAAAGATGGAAATATTTAATTCCAATCAAAATGCACATCTGATTAAGGCTATCAAGATTGGTATGTAATCGGTCAGTAACATATCTAACGATCTGGATTAAATATGCTTGCCTGTTAGGTTGACAGCCTCGCATTATTATCGTAGAACTGTTCAAATCTGCAGGGGAATATGGGACAAGCAATAAGTACAACGGGAACTAGCTTGTTGCGCGCAATTCACAAGTCACGGTTTCTTACCTGAAATGTCGCGTAACCCTCTCACAATTATTCCTGAGATAAACTTAAGTGGGTTAGGGGGAAGAGATAACTATGAACACGCATACATGCATTGCACAAGTGACTATATTTGACTAAATTGTATTCATTTTTTTCTCATACATGGCTTCCTTCAAGTTCGGTCACAGCTTGCCACGCGAATTAGCCGTTTATCCATTTAAATCCTTGTGACCGCACATTTCCTCAGAGTTTTTATAGTTGAAAGTTTGCTTGGTAATATTAAACACTTGGCAGCAAACCGCGCAGTTCCGAAGCTCGGCTTATTCATAGTGTGCTGCAACAGTTCTGCTTTCCAATGTGGTAACACGCGAAGATGCAGCAGAACTCGTCTTTTCGTAATCCTCACGACTGTCTATCGCATTCATGTTACATGGCGCAGTTCATGCTTAGACTGGGTTGTAAAGTCCTGTTTGGCTTTGTACGCATAATGCACACTGGTGTATTGTATGCAATACGCAACGCACAGTTTCATATTTTGCAGGTTGGTCATAAGATTCTATGAGACATAAAAGAACGGGGAACTGTGAAATGCCCACATCCAACAAGCCTGTGTCTGTACACTATGAAGAATATTCCAAAAAATTTTATCCTCATAAGTTGCTCTTACTTAAACCACAACCGTCCATATTATATTCCCGGCTTGTGAAAAGGTTACCTCAGTTATCTGCTAATTCATGTGGCCTGAAGATGCTTTGTGTTATTAGGCTATCATCTACTTACCGACTAAAACGCCAGGTTGGAAATTAAACCTTGCAAACCCGAGAACACTGCACACTTAGACCGGGTTTGAACTAATTTCCCTCACCGAGTAGAGACAGCATGCCCGGGAGTCGAGTGCGACGGATCTTCTCCGAAGCTTCTTCGATAAGACACCGAAGTGCGGCGCGAACGCTTCCATCCGGAATAATTGTTGATATCTTCACTCCTGCATTGGTTCGTAGCCATTGATATGAGATTAAAATGGACGGTGGTTAGTGGGTCCTTACACCACATAAGCAACGCTGAAACAGCTGTTGGAAGTTCTTCTTTGGGTTTTGCAATCATCACCGTGTACTTCGATTGAAGAATGCAATTGGAATTAGACTCATGGTTCACAGTATAGAAACGCTAACTCTCTTCAAAGCGCAACAATACGCCGATGGCCGGTGGTCGAGTGTTCTGCGCATCTGGTTTGCAACCATTATGTCCCCGGTTCGAATCCGCGTGAGTGTAGGCGTCCTCGCGGTCCACTCAGCCCGCGCGCGACGGGCGGTGGTCGGGCTGGAGCGAAGCACAGTTACGACATACAGTTAATACATTGTTATTATTAGAAATAATAATATTATTATTAATTGGAGCGGTTTCAATCCTTCGGCAAGAAGTGTGCTAATTGTTCACACGAAAATAACTCTAGAAATCAGAATTCAATTATTGTTTTTGTGTTGTAGATAGAAAGGTAGATCTAACATGCAGCGAAATCCACAACGGCAAAAACGAGGGAACAATTCACAACCGAAGATATGAGGACTATGATAGTGGAGACAGGATCTGCAATTATCAGATTAGTGTTCCTTCCAACAATCAAGTTGCTCTGAGCTTCCCTGAGTTTGAAGTAAGTTTAGTTGGTTGGTTTTTCCATGACGAAATGGTATGACACTCCCATCATAGTACCCAGAATGAGCTCCATAAAATTTGTACAGCGTAGCTAGAGAGATTTTATTTTGTTGCGGTCGGTAGTAAGGTGTGCAAATGCCTTTTTTCAAATGATAAACCACATATTTAATTTTGAATAAGTGATGTGATTCTTAAGTAGCATAAAGCTGTCATTCGTTTATTTCTCTTCCAGTCTTGGTATAACAACGTGCTAATCTTCGTGTTCGATGGACCCGATTGTACATCCAATTGGATCGGATATCTGCGGCACCCCCTGAATGAGCCACTGATTGCTTCTGGAAACAGTATCACAGCATTGCTGACTGTTCAACGTGCAGTTGATACTTGGCGATTCAAAGGAAATTATTCCACAGGTAAATGGCACGAATTCAAATTGTATATTCTAGTAATAGACGGCAAGCATTCTTATAATTGATTATGGATATTGATTATGATTATCTTTAAATTACTGATAAAATTATCCATTCAAATCACACACACTTTGCAGAAATGTCAACAAGTTTATTCACTATAATTGACAACATTATGGCTTATTTAATATTCATTTGTGGAAATCGATTACTCGAAGTGGCATGAATACCAAACACCTTTGCATTGCCAGGGTAGTTGAACAATGAACCATGAACAATGCTTTATGCCCGGGAAAATTACATTTGCTTGACAAGTGCCGCAGGATGGGGCTAATACAGTTACAATATCAAATAAATGTGTGCCTTGTCTGTTTGAGCTTTAGTTAGCATATACGCTGCTGGATAATATTAGTGTACCTGGGAATTAAATGTGAACGATGAGGTAACATGGGGACAGTTTTATTTTATGTACTCCATGAGGAAAACAAACACGAGAATATTAACATCGGTACAACCTCCTCAGGTTAATGTGAAATGTTTATCCGGCTTGAAGGGATAATTCTTATATTCCAACCTAGCACAGTATAGGCAATGTTGTGATTGGGGACAGGGGCAAAACCTAACCGTTATTTGAACTGACCCAAGTTTGGGATAGAGTTGCAGTGTTGGCCTAACCAAACAGGAAGCTAGTTCCACCGGTATTTCAGGTGGCTATACCGTGTATATCATTTCAGACGGTTACCTTTGATATTGGTGTTATGGCTGAGTTCAGCATATGACGGCACATGTGATTAGGGTCAAGCAATATTTGGCAGACTAATATGAGATCGCCGCGCAGTCTCCGGTAGCGGCCACTGAAAACTCCCAGTGAATTCAGCCTTCGCTGGTAGGACAGATTTCGTAGGCCCTTGAAGTTATTGTGGCCCTGCGTTGTGGTTTCTCAGACACTTTTAATCGCGCTTCAAGCAAGGTTACCAAGCTTGGATAGCTATTCAACGTTAGTGCGCACCTACGAATTGTGCATCAAGAGTAAGTTGGATAAGACACATCTTATGAATACTGTTTGCAGCAAGCCGACGTGCTGGTTTGCTCTCTTGGCAGCTGCCTCTGGCTGTCTTGAACAGCTAAGGTCATTTTGTCTGAGCACATGAAGGTCGCGTTCTTGGGAAGTTGTTTGTAATATATTTGAACCTAGTCTACATAGGTAGTCATGACTATGGTAAAATGGAACAGCTTGACTTTTTTCACCCTAAACACACTGTTTTATTCAGAACTGACCAGTTTAAAATCCTGTTGAGGACACGCTGGAGCTTTTTGTGGTCCATCGATTCGCTGATCGCTCGCCATGATCATCCGCGGAGAATAGGAAATCGGAAGTAATTTTCCTCACCAGACTGTTTATGCAACACAAAAATAGCTGGGGCCCGATCACCAAGTCGTATGGTACGCTGCACTCTTTCTCAGTTGCGTCGGACAGGGAATCTCTTACTCTCAAATGAAAGGAGTTTCTTGCAGGACATTTTCTATCTAACGCAGCAGTGAACCACGAGTGCCGTAAAGCTCTAGTTTATGAAGGAGATTTTGGTGGTCAAAGCGATCCAACGCTTTTGAGAAGTGTGAGAAAATGACATCGACTTCTGCTCCACCATCAACTGCTTCAGTCCAGCTATTATGTGCAATTAACAGATTTGTAGTGCTTGAGCGTTTTCTTGTAATCCATGTTGCTCTGGTGCTATCATGTTAGGATTTACTAGGTATGCATAAGTGCATCAGCGATGATAGACTCCATAACCTAGGAAGGTACCGGGAGTAGCGTTATCGAATTGTAATTAGTTGTGTCAGTGCAACTACCTACCTTATGAAAAGGAGTGATGTCAGCTCTCTTCCATATTGTTGGCATATAATGCTTCTCCATACAGCCCTGATAGAATATAGGCGCAGGTTCCACCGGATCTCTAGCTGCGGCCTATAAAGCCTTCGGTTGAATGTTATCGACACCAGGAGAGCTGTGGATATGCAGAGACAACGGTTTCTTTGACAGCGTTTCTACAGTAAATGTCATGTTGGATATAGTTGATGGTGAGATACTAGAAACAGAGATAATCGTTGGACCCGTTACTTCCTTGAAGGTTGGTGAGTAATGGAACCGTAAGATGTCGTTTGTTTCCGTTGCTGATCTCATGCACCCTTCATCCTTGACCAGTGCTACAATTCCGCGTTGCACCTTACGACGCCCATTAACATGCCTGTATAGCGGTTGCAGATTAGTGCAGAATCTCTGCATTAACTTCTGCTGATGTGCCAGATTGTCCTTGCGGATCAAACCAAAACAGAATGTAGCTGTGCCACATAGACAGTCCAGCTTTGGGGATTCCGGAAGTTCTTGTGAGCTCTCCATGCTAAGTCCCTCAACGACATGTATTTGTGTGTTCTGCTCCTCAGAAAGGACGCAACTTCTTTGACGATAGAAGGTTTCCTGCTCAGACGCGTGCATTACCAGTGTGGTGAATGTCGTTTTGCCAGCGTTGGACTCAGGAATGTACTGCGGTTCTGTTTAGCAAATGTTGGTTTCAATGTTGCGGCTTGGAACTTCGATTGCTTAGCGAGCACTAAAGAATGCTGTGTAAATGGTGTTGCATCTCTCGTGCTTGATCCAAAGTATGGACTTACGGCTGTCTCATTAAGTGCTTTTTTCGAGGCTACCGATGCGTAGTTTAACCGTCTCTGGACTGCCAGTTTGGTGATCAACCCTTGCGATATGTCAACGGGAGTGAGTTAATAGCCATATTTGGCCTCCTACTTAAATAGTTAATAATTGTTGGAGTAGGTGGCGCTGATGCCGTTGGGCAGTTAGTAAGACTGGGTTCAGTCTTTTACTTAGGAACAGAGCTCTGTGGGGCTTTCTGTATAACAAGATCGTTATTGTTAGATTCTAATGGTAATGCTCTGTAACTCGCCTTCTGCTGGACTGTTTCAGTCAGCTTTTCAAAATTGTCACCAGCGATATTATACAACTGAGCATTGGGATTGCCCTGCAATTTTGGCAAAACTAGGGCGTATCAGTCAGATTGAATTGTCTGTAACATTTCGCTGACTTAAACCAGCACAGCGGGGGTAAAACAGAAAGCAGCAAAATACACAAATACTGTCACTTTTAACTATCCTGCACAACTATGCTCACCACCTTGTCTGTTCAACGGTCAATTCCATTGATGGCCATCATTGCAAACGAACGCTGCCTGGTCTGGTCACGTAAGGAAGAGGGCAAGTGACGCTTACGTGCTTTGTTTCAGTCACAAGTTCAACATCGTTTACCGTAGGTAAATGTGTCACGACGAGTAGACAAGTACACGGAGGTTGTCTAGCTTATTGATCTAAACTGCTTCCTGTAAACCAACGCCGTTGGAATTGACTTGGTTTGGGTGGATAATAGCCACAAGTGCCGGCGATAGGCGAATGTACTTGAAACCACAGATTGAGTCCTTGCTTCGTTAGGAATGATCCTATGGATGTAATTCTAGAACTAGAAGATAGCGCAGAGTATCCTTGATGGATCTCGGTGTCACATCAGTGCAAACTCTTAAAAACAACAGGATGGCGCCTCTAGATGGAACTACGAAACCCGCTAAATCAACTTGGGTAGCACAAATCACTTTCAGTAGGAAATACTCTCGTAAACATATGTTCAATGTACATGGTGAGTTGTTACGATTAGAATGAATGTATGATGACTGCGATAGATGAATTGAAAGACATGAAAATCTGTGAGAGATGGGAGCACGTTTACTATGCGACTAGTCACAAGACACCTTGTGAAGTGCATGACCGGAAGTTTGATACCTTTTCGTTGTACCAAACTTTGAGCGCCTAAGCATATCCAATCGCATCTTTGTGTCATATAGAAAGCTTAAAAAGCATAAATTATCTGCTAAATATTTTGTTCCGTGAACAACGGTTCAGTCCGTCTCGACCTACTGCAAGCTTGACTGAAAGAAATGCTAACACATAAAAAGGCAGTGCTTGTGGCGCTGATTGTGTAGACTGCGATGAATTTACTTGGGATATCTGGGCTATCAACTAATGATGGTTTGCCTAATGTAGCACAACGAGAAAAACAACGGAAATGCTTTGCAACTACTTATGTTCATTTACTTTAATATCCTCGAAGCCTTGAAATCCATGGATTTTCTATAACATCCTCACTAAATTGACTCACGGAAAAAGTCCATTGCTTTGATGATCAAGTATAATCCATTTTGAACTCCTTCAGTGTTGGAGGGTACTAGTTGCCGTAACGACTAAAGTGATACCAATAGCAGTTTCCGTTTCAGTCCACATGGTACAAAACGTACGCATTTGTTTACGAACTACAGATTCTAACTGGGACGTTTTCGAAAACTCGGGCACGTATTTGCCATTTTGGTAATTAAATTCACGGATGCAGACCCTTCCGAGTTCGCGACTAGCGGCCAGTTATTAGTCATCTACAAAGGACTAGATGATATTTGTGCCTGTATACACAGAAAGCCCCTTACACTATTGATGATTTTTGGGAATCGAAGCTAACAGCTTCGTCCATCGCGTACTCAACGCGTACGTACATGTGGGCAAAGTGCAATAGCATTTGTTAATGTTGAGGCGATAATCAACTACATACAAATTCCGTCATTTGTGTGTGTTGTGCATCAATGTGTCTATTGAACAATGAACAATGATTTAGCACGGGATAAATGCAAGTGCTTGACACTTCCCGTAGGATGATTGGGGTGAATGTCACTAAATTAAAATATATGTGTGTCAGCTACCAAATGTCTGTCGAGATGAATACTTTGACAAATTACATCAGTGAAAAGTTAAAAAATAGAGCGTAAACGTTCAGAAATACACTGGGGTGAAGTGATTGTAGATATAAGGCTTGAAAAATTAAACTATGGTCGCCCATTTGGTTTTATTTGATATACAAATCCCGTTGAAAGGCATGCTTGGCGTAATCCACAATTGTT